TGTTTTTCTGGTGTTTGCAGCTTTATGTACTGGACGGAGTGGGGGGGGCGGCCACGCATAGCCCGAGCTTACATGGACGGCAGCACCGTAACGACCCTGGTGGACAAAGTGGGGCGAGCCAACGGGCTGACCATCGACTACGTAGACCATCGACTCTACTGGACCGATCTGGACACGTGTATGATTGAAAGCACCAACATGCAAGGTAGGGACGTCCCCATCCAGGTTTTTACGCTTCCGATCCGATATACCGATCCCGGCCAATCAGAGCATGTGTTAAAGTTTAAAGTTATTTATCTACTTACTTAGTGTTCAGACTCCTGTTGAACAGGGATTTACTCTGATAACAACTTAATGGTTAGGACACAGACCTGTGGGTTAGATATGCTAATGCTAATGCTAATGCTCGTGTGGGATCGGACTTACAAAAAAACTGGATCTGGATGTTAAAATATTGATATGTTGGTTTAAATATACCCATCAGAATACACTGTAATTCCTATAATTCGTTCCAAAAACCTACGATAACTCCTTAATAAATACTGCAGATAATCACACATAGCAATAAAACAAATGACTTATAGAAGAGAGATGGAAAGAGAAAGAAATGAGAAAGAAATAATCAATAAAAAGGGTTTTTATTGTCCCGTTCCAGCTTTTTTCCACTTCCGATCCGATACTGATCCCGGCCTATCAGAGCATTAAAGTTTAAAGTTATTTATCTACTTATTAGTTGTCAGACTCATGTTGAACAGGGATTTACTATGATAACAACTAGCCATCTGAATTAGGTAAATTTGAATAATACACAATTGTTGGTTAAGAAACACCTGTTTATTCAGGGATAAACACAAAATAGGATAAAATTATAAATAACAAACGGAAATGGCATCGGTGAACAGTAAAAAAGTGCAAATAATATTGTAAACTGTATTAAAAAAGGCAAAGCACAAAAAAACTGAATAGAAAATAGTCTTAACTCTATTAAGCATCAGTAATGGATTCTAATCGGTAATCTGGAAAACATGGATCAGACTTTTAAAATCCGAGCATGTATTAAAGTCTAAAGTTATTTATCTACTTACTTAGTTGTCAGACTCATGTTGAATAGGGATTTACTCTGATAACAACTTAATGGTTAGGACACAGACCTGTGGGTCAGGAGATGCTAATGCTTGTGTGGGATCATACTCTGGATCTGGGGTTTGGATTGGTGTTTTGCAAATATAGGCTGATCCCCTCCAAATATTGGATCAGGACAAGCCTGATACAAGGTTTCTTCTCATTTCCATGATAACAAAACTCACAAGGAGAAGCTTTTCCAAAAGAATAGTCTGGATTACTAAAAAGATGGCTACGATGATGATGTTAAAAGTCTGCCAGAGGTTGAAGTGTTGCTTTGTGTTGATAGTCCGTCTAAACGAATGACCTCTTTGTGGCAGGGCTCCAGAGGGAGATCATCGTGGATGACCTCCCTCACCCCTTCGGCCTGACTCAGTACCGGGACTTCATCTACTGGACGGATTTTAACCTGCGCAGCATCGAGCGGGCGGATAAACGCAGCGGACTCAACCGCACCGTGGTCCTGCAGGTGGGGAGCAAAAGATCACAGCTAGAGCAGGTTTACAGAGGATCGGTTTAACGATTTTGGTTAACACATCCGGTTGGGAAAAGTAAAGGTGTCTGATTCAGACTCGGAGCAAGAAGTCACTGTAGTCATAATGAAAGTTCTTCACACATTGGCTGCCAAAGACGTCTATAGACGTCTTTTATGTTTTTCAACGAGAGTGGCTGGGGGACGTTCTGCTAAAGCTTGTCCGTAAATATCAGGCTTCTAGACAGAGGATGTAGTAACAAATTGACCCTCTAGGGGGCAGTTCCACTTTTGATAGGAGATGAGCATAGACTGTAGGCAAATAAGAAAAAGGTAACGGTTCGCTATGAGAGAACATGTCGCCGGTGAGACGCAAGTCCAGGAAGAACGGAATAAGGTAGAAACAAAAAAATTTTTCTTGATGAAAGAAGAGAGTCTACTCTTTCTTTTGGTGTTTGGTGTTTACATAGTCATAGCACAAACTATTCTGTGGCTCTTGAAAAATCTGTCAAAATCACCGTCGCCTCACAGCAAGAGGGTTCTGGGTTAGAGTCCCCGGGGTAACCAGGACTAATTTAGTGGCATTTATTTATGCTTCTCACACTGTCATTTACATTTATTGTAGATCTGTATATATAAATATTGTTACATATCTATCTATCTATCTATCTATCTATCTATCTATCTATCTATCTATCTATCTATCTATCTATCTATCTATCTACAGAGATGTATATATGTATACAGGACTGTCTCAGAAAATTAGAATATTGTGATAAAGTTCTTTCTTTTCTGTAATGCAATTAAAAGTCATGAAATACATTCTGGATTAATTACAAATCAACTGAAATATCGCAAGCCTTTTATTGTTTTAATATCGCTGATTATGGCTTACAGCTTAAGAAACCCAAATATCCTATCTCAAAATATTAGAATATCGGATTTTTGAGTTTTCTTCAGCTGTAAGCCATAATCAGCGATATTAAAACAATAAAAGGCTTGCGATATTTCAG